CACAATAACGATGAGGTCAGTACTAGTTATCATTGGTTTGTGTGAGGGCCCGAGAGCCTAAACCGAAACAGGTGGTTTTCTTTTTGATCTAGAGGTCAAATGCACAAGACAGTGGAGCAACGTAAGGAGATGCAGTCCCATGGCAGTCTGTCACGAACAGTAGGTCCATACACAATTTGTTCTCTTAAGATCATGGAGCCTATGTACACCAATTGGTTTGGAATCAGGGTTTCCCAACTCACCTAGGTGGATCCCTCATATTCACCGACCTGGTTAAAGTGGCGGAAATCTGTTTCCCTTCCTCTTAATTTTGTGAAAAACATCCCCGACGCGATAAATCATTGAGTAGGACTTCTCTGGCAGTGGCTGTATACGCGTGGCTATGTGAGAGCGCACTCTTTCCGCCCTTAGCCGCACCAGGGCATTTGGGGGCCCCAAACTTAGATAGATATAAAATCCAATCTATTGCCGTCTCAGGTCATTTCACCAAGCGACCTGGAATATCAAGGAAATTAATAGCCCAGAAGCATGATGACTGAACTTGGAAAATTCTCGAATTCACTGTATTCTAGAACGTCGTTGATTATTACAGCTGCATGATAGCAAAAAACTAAACATTTTCCTCTCATCTTCGATGTACAATGTGAAAGAACCACTTAAATTCGAGTTTACCTGAGTGGGTGTTCCTGACTGACAAGCGGTAACTATTGTCTTGTAAAACTAAAATTCATAAATACGCTTATATTATTCAGAAAAGCCTAACCAACATCACCTTTGATCTGCCCTTAGTTAAAGCTCATATCTACGCGTTCAACCGGACAAGAGTATAGTATGCGATAACTTTCCTTTTAACAAACCCGATAATCTGTTTCACAATGGGGATCCTGAAAACGCTAATACAGGACCAACCATCATAACTGAAGACAAAGAAAGTACGACTGGACAAAAATAATGGTTAGTTTGGTAAATATTGTTTATTGGTAGAAAACAGAATACCAGCTCAATAGACCCATTACGTAGCACTTAGGGTACACGCGAATTCTACATAATTTCAGTTAGGAATAATACTAACAATGAATTTTTCACAACGATCAAACAAGTATTCAGTGTTTTAACAGTTCTGTTCTTTTCTCTCAATAAGTCAATTCATCCTACTTTAGTAATTTATTTTTCTTATCTAAACCATTTCGTACATTTCACATTTGTTTTAAATGTAGTGCAACTGTTAGCTTTTTAAAACTTAATTAATTCGAAACTAATAAATCAGATGACATCATATAATGAGGCTTATTGATTCGAAATCACATGAATGGTACTGTAATGATAAAAAATCTTTTCTCCAACCACGAGTGATATTAACTACTTTACAGGTTTCTTGATACACGAATTCTCATAGTAATATGATGTGTATTGTCCCAGGGAAGAAAAATGGAAATATTTGGACGTTTCCTGCTTCTCATTTAACCATTAGCAAAACGCTGCAATTACCTCGAGGTTCCTCGCCAGAACGCTAACTCAAACCATCAATAATGTTGCAGTGGAATCTTGAGAAACTAAGATTGTTGTTATAATGTACATCGACTGTTGTCATTACGATACACTAGTCAAGTAGTTAAATTAGTTGGTTAATTGAGGAAAACTGCTACGAGTAGTCTCAGCACGTGAACTCAAACTACGTTATAATCTTTCACCGTTTTCGCTATATTCATGTCATTTAGACCCAATAAATCGATATCACTGGCAAAAGTAGTCTGTTAATTTAGGTGGTAAAGCTGTGAACTCTGGTACGCAGATGTAATCACAATAAAAAATACGCGTGCTCGGTAGGTCATCTTACTGTGCAAGGTTAGCTAGTGTATTATTTTAACGCAACTAACACTGTTCCACGAAGTGATTGACAAATCGATGCATACGATCCTTACAGCTCGCCTAGTTACTATAATTGACTATGACTACTTTGGATTGGACGGCACGAAAGACGTAGCGTTCTTACAAACTTCTACATATACCTTTTAATTTCCTGCCAGTGATGAGATTGGCATTATCTCTTTTAATAACGCTGGTCCGAAGCATAGCAACTTTGAACAGTATGTATTCATTTGAAGCCCTAATTTATCCGTAACATATTTTACAACATATGTGAATACAGATATCAGTAAAGTTAATTCTTAATCCACTATCACTAATGATGCTGTCTAAGGTGTCATTTGAATTAATTTTGACCGTCAACGTTGTTGAGAGCAGTAATCTTTACGTCTGAAATACATACCTCCCGCCAAACTTAGAGATGTTTATCGCTGCTAGAACAAAAAAGTACACAAACTCCGTCAATAAAGCATTGGTAATCTCTTAGCCACTGGTAAGTGATGAACAGAAGGGGGAAACGTATAATTTTTATACAAATGTTGAACAAAACCTAAAGGTGATTGTTTGGTGAAAGATACTCGTTAGCAAGTTCTTAATGCTGTAGAACTAACGTACCCCTCTAGCTAGCAATAGCTTTTTGTAATTTACAATTTAAACAAGATACATCGCGATCCACATCACAGAGATTTATGTACCTTATGAACAGTTAAATATTAATTGCGCATGATAACACAAAACGGAACTATAGCGTCAAAAAAGTAACTACTGTGATAATGGTAGTTTTCTTCTCTAAACAGACCAAGCGATCTGACAAAATATAATCATAGGAAACGAACTACACCTATAGTACAGACAAGTGGACAATTACTATATTAAAATACATCGTACTAAATATTCAATTGATTTACTCCGTGACTCATTTGCAACCTAAATTTAATTTTCTGGTGCCCATATCAAAATGAGATCAACGGAATGGGATCTTAATGAATAACTAAAACAGCAACGAAATCTCAATACGTCAGCAACCGATTGACCTAGGAAGTTGTTAAAATAGGCACAAACTAATTACAACGTACTGATCTAACGGACTGTCAACACTTTTGGATCACATACCTTAATATATTTACACTAAACTAAACACTTTAAATCCTAAGAAATCTTATTTTTGGAACCGATGGAATATTAGACGCGATTAACTATCCCATATCGCTATGATGAACACGTTTAAGTTTTCAAAAATGAGATGAAGTGGAAATACTTATGCTAACAGATTACCTTAACACCACATCATTAAAAAGGTTAGTAGAAACATGAGATTTGTAGTTTTAACGAAGAAGTCTAAGTAATGCAATGCATTGTATTGACGTTATACAGTACAATACATAAAAATGAATAGATCGACGATTGGTTATTAAGTATATTCATTGCACAAAAATAGTGCCTTTGAGTACGCATAAGAAATATTAGACAATTTCGGTTTAAAAAGCTTAATTTATTATTTAAGAAAAAAACACTTTGACTTTCAGCGAACAATATTCGAAGACAGAAGCACGAGTACCTCAAAAGCGAGTAAATCGAAATCCCTGTTCACACTAAATTACATGACTAGATTTCATCGAGGTCCCCTCAAGTCATTTACAAAGTAATGCATAGCGATTTGAACCTTTGTGTGATTATTTCCTGATATAAAGCAACTTAGTCGTTAAATCATTGTTACCTTCATGATAAATTCAATAAGTGGATATCTACCAATTTTCTTATACAGAAATTACTCTGGTTAAAATAAGCTTTTGACAAACAAACGGAAAAACTGTTACAACTGGCAATGATGTAAAACAAGGTCCACGAAGCAAAGTGAACATGCAATACCAAACAACCATGCTAAAACTGACTAGAAATAGTCATGTTACTAAATATTGGACAGAAACTGTCCACAGTAGAAATTTATGGAACAAACAAATATAACCCTATGTTAACAATCAAAAACTCATCAACAGTTACTGATTACTCTAAAATCGTAAACCAAATTTAGATCGAGATGTGATTTTATGTAATACTTATCAATTGGGACACGTGATCCTACATATTAAGCTGTGGTAGTGGTGACCGCTTGAAACAGAATTAAAGCATTGTAACTACCAGTTATATTTTAAAGAGGAATATATAAACCTGATTCAATGAAAATAATTCGCATGAATCGCGCTAAGTAGACATAGCCCCATTTAACAACACAATAGCTTCGAATAACATCTATTCAATTGACTGTTTAGCGATTATTATCTACTGAATTAATGGGTTTTCAGCAAAGCATTAACGTGACAATATTTTTAGCCTGATAATGAGACCTGCCTGATGAGATGTGACAATTGAAATGAACTATTTGGAAAAGCTTTGACAAAATTATTTGTTAACTGCTTTAAGTTTCATTCACTAATAAAATTACTACTTAGCTCCCAGGAATGGATAAACCAATTTAAAAAACCTTTTCATGGTGAAACAAATATTAGGATTTTAGAGAAGAAAGATATAAGTGAGCAAACTGATTTCATTAATGGACTTATTTCAGGAAGGATTATAGTGCACATTTCAACAGTTAAAATGTTATTCATTCTTTTTTCATTAATGCAATAATCAGACATTATATTAAGAGGAAAATAGTACAGTTTCTTTTAGGGGATAGAAAAACAAAGAAATATGCATATACACCAATAACGTCATGGCACAGTAACAAACTCAATCATTGGAATGCAAAGAGCAAGGGAAAGTAAAATTTAAGAGGAAAAAAGGAAAACCATTCTCACCACAAACATCTGATGAGTAAAATAACTAAAAATGTTTAAAAGAATAAATCGTAATAATGTAAGACGTAAAGAATGAACGTGAACAATTACCTCGTGAGATGGTAAAGCGAGGAAACGTATGTGTGTGGAGGGGTAAAGTTAATCAAGGAAACGTGTGAAAATGACAAGATGACATGCGTATACATATGTATATATTTATATATATAAATCAGGCTTTCCTACAAGTCACTGTCAACAAGTGTCTTAACGTGTACGAAGTTTTTTGGCGACGGTAATTCACTTCTTCTAGTGGAGATACCAGGAATGATAATGTTTTGTATAAACTAGTTCGGGTTACTTTGTCGTCATCATTGTAACAAATTCTGAAAATAGGAATAGGCAATTATAACAGAGAATATCCCCAAAGTTGACATCTACCACAAAACTACCACGTACTACATTTTTCCCAAACAAAATAGGTAAACCAATCAACGAATTATACTCGGAAAAATAAACAAATACGACATATGCATGCATTATCATTTGTAAAAAAAACGAAGGATGAGATAATAGTGTGACAGGAAGGGATTTCTCAAATTAATTTGTACTTAAATAGGTAAAAATAGCATTGCATACTAAAGTTAAGCCGACCTAGGTAGTGTGAATTACTGTCACTACAAGAATAAACCGTTAACGCTCAACTTGAATCATCGAAAGACCCTTAAATCTTCCTGTGAAACGATGTGGTACATAACACGAAAGACTTTCATTCTACTACCTTTTTAAACTACAATAATTACTACTCTAGCTTTATCGGAAAATGAAAAATACGAATCAAAATTTCTATATTCGACATAAAAATTTTTAGATGGTTGATTTAGAAACTTTAAAGACCTATGTAATATCCCAAGCGAACGAAAGAATCGTGAAAACGTATAGCACAAACAATAATTACTGTCTACGGAAAAATCTTAACATAGATTAATTCAACATCACATAGAAAGCCTAAAGAAATAAGGCTTATATATATATGCAAAAAGTGAGCAGTAAGGGCTTTATTGTTGTTTTAAGTGGGGGCATACATTTTGAATTTTCTGGGGGAAAAACAGACAAAAAATAGCCCAGAGCATTAAAAACTCAAACAGTATAATCAGTTACGTAGTTTGTAAACAAAACATGCGTATACAATGGGCGACTCAACACGCCAATCACAAAATTGCTTTACAGACATTCTTTTGCTCAAAATGAGCATTCAGCTGAAAGTGTGATGAGAATGTTTAGTTTTGATGTATTATTTTAGTATTCTCATTTCGCTGTCATCATTTTCACGAATTCTGTTGATGTAGTTCACAGAAGTAGATAAATTTTGGGATGATAGCAGATAGGACAAAGGCATCACATGCGAATACCGTCAGATAAGTCGGATGAGGTGAACATGAAAACGCACCGCAGATGTATAGAGTAAAAAAGACAACAATGAAATTGCAAAATTTTAACAACAAATATATGTAGATATGTATATAAATATATATATATATGATGCACAACATAAATAAACAACTATGAAATACGTGAAACATAAACAAACTACTAACAATACCAAATAACTACATTAAGACGTAAAAACAACTAAATCTACAAGAATCCGACCACTAACTTAAAAAAAGACAAGTTATACTGAATTTACCTTCATAATTTACTTGACCATCACCATCTATATCAGCTTCGCGTATCATTTCATCGACCTCATCATCAGTTAACTTTTCGCCCAAGTTGGTCATTACATGTCTGTGGAAAATACATAAGGGCACACAATAGGGTTAGCATTTTCAGTAGATATTCTACATATAAAAGTTTTCGGAAAACTATTTGAAACAGTAAAAAATTTTTGCTTAAGTATAGAGACTTGATATTCTCTTCGGGATGCAGATTTTTATTCCGTAATACTTTGCCTTTTTCCAGGATCTGTTTAGTTATTGTTGCATATAATAAATACACATAGATGTGGTTTACGCCACGGACTGAGAATAGTTGGGGTGTAGTGGAAACTAACCCCAAAACTCTTTAGGTCACCTGTTTTTAAACCTTTCGAATATTTTGTTAATCACCTAATGTACTCAAGAGTTCCTGCTAAAAACTTAACAGATAATTACTGTCAAATTCGAGCAAAATCATTACGGCGAGGTTGGTATGTTTGTCTGCTCGCGTGTTCATTAGAGAAGTAAAAGATAGTCGAATTGAAATCGATGCCTCAAGTGTACTACGAAGTGAGAAAAGATATCACAGAAAGAAAACTGATCAAATCAGTATAGGGATAAAGATGCATAGTAGCTAATCACTATTGAGAAGTGTTCCCTTATGTAGATTTCAAGTATTAACAAGTTAAACATATTAAACTGGAATTTGTACCATTATATATTAAAGCTGAGAATTCTTTAATCAACAATACGGTACCAAATAAAACTCCAAAGAACATAGGATAACAGTATAGAACTATCATAATCAAACAAGGAAAGTAAATTTTGTGTAAATGTTCTCCTGAGTGGATTATTTCAATACAAACTTGTTACGTTATGGACGCCAAACGACTTGTAAGACGAAATAGCATGATATCACGGAAAAACAAACAGGCAAATATAAATGATATTTAGGAAGCCAGATGAAGTACCTATCAAGAGAGCTGATTAACTTAGTAACTTGTTGTAACAACTGAAGGATCACATATAGCCTTGATCATGAGATGCCTTTGATGATAGTAAAGTTAACTATGGAACTTTACGCAAGGGATTTGGACCTACAGGCATCAAGCCAGCAAAACTATCACTTAGTTTACAATGAGTTATTAGACTGGTCATTTATTTTGCCCGACTTATCTGAACAGCGGTGAACAGCGATTGATGGTGTAGCCTACGAAATATGATATATAATATATCAAGGATACCCATTTCAAAGTGATTTTGCTGTACATAAAATAGCCAATAAATCCTAACTGACACGATTAAGCTGTCGAATGTAACGCTAAAAAGTGGTTTTCGCGTCAAAGAAATTCTTAGTTGTTCTGATTCAATGTCAGTGTAGTACAAAATTGGGTACACTGAGTAGCCGTACACAGTGCTTTACAATCATTGTAATATCACAGTGCCGAAGATTACCCACGACACTTAGATTGCTTTAGGACTGGGAAGTGTCACTGAGTGAAAAACATTAGGACGAAATGAATATAAAAGTCGTGGCGTCAGAGATAGACATACAGAACATAATTGGAGGGAATTAATCGGTGGAATAAAAGGTACAGCGAAACTTTGAAACTCATGATCTAACCAAAAACAAAGAGCTAATGTATATGTACCATTGAGACTAATTTTAAATCATGAACTCAACATCTTTAACCATTGATCACAACAAACCCACAGTCAGTCAGTCAGTAACAACGTAGAACTTCGTACGTACGTACATCAGTTCAAGTTGCCATACCACATTAGTACAGAGATGCAGTTGTCGATTCAAATCCCGTAGTGGTAGAGGTAATAAGAGTATAAGCAGTAATCGGGAAGATTAGGGTTTAAAGATGTTATTCAAAGAGTATAATCCAATGAAATAAATTTGGAAAGAGAAAAGAGCGGGACATGAAGAATTCAGAAGATTAGAATTTGGTAGAACATAAAGAATGGATGCACTTGCGCCATTGCAAACGATTTTGAGCCATGTCATTCAGGGTCTCTAACCATCGGCTGCTATTATCGCGTGGTCCCCAACCAGGTAGTCTACACCTACCAACATGGCTCAGTCCACTTGTCAGTGACTTCATGGATTTGTGCCATGTTTTGGTCTGGCCACCCCTAGCTTTCTTCCAACCTACTCCTATACCATTGAACATCGCTAGTCGAGGCAGTCGGTCGTTGGGCATACGTAACACGTGTCCCAGCCATCTCAACTGATGAAGTTTCACTACTTCATCAATTGATTTGCCATCCTTATCTAGTACCCGTTTCCTAACAACTGTGTTACTCGATGGTCCCATGATATACGAGCAATGTTTCGAAGACACCTATGATCAAATACTAGTAACCTACGAATATCCTCTACTCTTACCGGCCATGTTTCACTGCCATAAAATAGGACGGTACGAACTGCTGCGCAGTAAACACGTCCTTTGGTTGATAGACGGATATCTCGCCTACGCCATAAATGACGTAAGTTGGCAAAAGCTAGTCGAGCCTTCTGTATCCGTGCTGAGATTTCGTCACACACCAGACCACAAGGGCTGATGAGACTTCCAAGATAAGTGAAGCGATCGACACGCTCAATTACTTCACTCCCTATCACTAGTTCGGGTGTCGATGTAACCCAATCCTGAAGCAACATTCTGCATTTCGAGGGAGAGAATCGCATCCCGAACATGCTTGCATTGTTGCTTAGAGTGGTCAGAAGACTGCATTTTGTCAGCGTCTTCACCAAATAAAACTATGTCGTCAGCATATTCTAAGTCAACAAGTGAACCTCCCGGTAGAAGTTCAACCCCTGTAAATTTAGATGAGGAGAGTGTTATCTCTAAAAGTACGTCAATGACAAAGTTGAACAAGAATGGGGAGAGTGGACAGCCCTGACGAACACTTGATGTAATCAATTCTGATGACAGTTCGCCATAAGCTCTCACTCTACCAGTTGTGTTCGAGTAGAGAGCCTTTATAAGGTTAATGTACTTCTTTGGTACTCCTTTCAGTGACAAACACTGCCATAGAACCTCACGATCAACAGAGTCGAATGCCGCCTTAAGGTCGAGAAATACTACCATTGTGGGGCGTCTGAATGTGTGTCTGTGTTCTAGAACCTGACGTAGTGTGAATATCTGATCTATACAACCACGTACAGGTCGAAAACCGGCCTGGTTTTCTCTAATCTGCTCTTCACGAGCTTTGGTTAGGCGTCGAAGTATTATTGAGGCTAATATTTTAGACACTATATTAGTCAAACTGATTCCTCTGTGATTGTCACAAGAGGACTTTTGTCCTTTCTTATAGACTGGCACAATCAGTGATTGAGACCAGTCAGATGGGATTACGTCCAGTTCCCAAATTCTACCTAAGACCTCGGTTAATCTCATTGCTAATACTGGACCACCATCCTTAAAAATTTCAGGAGTAAACCTGTCAGGGCCTGCTGCTCTCGCTCGTTTCAGATTTCCTATGGCTTTTTCAACTTCGTAAAGGGACGGAGGACTTACATTAACTTGCCATTCAGGTTGACTGGAGATCGTGGGAAACCGAAGTGTGGCTGAAGGCCAGTTGAACTGATCCCCAAAGTGTTCTGCCCATCGATGCAATCTCCTGGATTGAGAATGAATAATATGTCCATCTTTCTCTGAGATTGTTTCGCTAACAGTCGGTTTCCTAATACTGGTTTCCTTAACAAGTCTGAACAATTGTCTGCTATTACCTATTGCCGCTGCCTTTTCCATCTGTCTTGCTTTCGCTACCCACCACTGTTCGCGATCATTGCGTAGGCTTCTTGTCAGCTTACGCTTAAGCTAACTCTGCTCTTCGTTATGTTCAGAGCCAGATAGAATGAGTTTTTGAGCACCTATCAGTGCGGTAGATGCTGCTGAGATCCAGTGTTGTTTCCTAACCTTCTGGTTTACCTTACTAGCAGATATCACTGCTGTTTCCACAGCTTTTCGGATATCATTCCATGCTGCATCGGGGTGGGCATCACATACATGGCTGCCTAACTGTTTGCTTAGTTGTTCCTGAAATATACTCTTAGCTTGGCTATCATTAAGTAGGCCCCTAAGAGGTTTCCTTGCAGCGTCTTTCCTACGTCCAGTAAGACGCAAGCAAATACGCGCTCGCATTAGAGCATGATCTGACTCTAGACATGTGCTCCAGAATGAGCGACAGTCTTCTATCGAGCCCCTCCATCGGTGGCTGATAGCTATGTGATCTATTTGGGTCCAACGTTGGGACGAATTAGGGGGTCGCCATGTTAAAAGATGTTTTTCCTTATGCTTAAAGTTAGTATTTGCAAGGAACAGGGGGTTATCTAAGCATAGTTGCAACAGACGGTCGCCATTATCTGTTCTTTGAGCCACGACACCATAAGATCCACCTAGGTGTCTTTCCCTATCGCTTAGTTTACCTACTTGAGCATTAAAGTCACCGGCCACTATTACTACATCAGGGCGCCTAGCTTTTCGGAGAAGGTCCGAAAGCTTTCTGTAAAACTCATCTTTTACATCATCTAAGCTGCAGTCAGCGGGAGGATAGGCAGAAACGACGAAGAGGCAACGACGAGTGTCCCTATCTTTCCGGATTCTTACTGTTCCGTTCAGTCGGACAGCGCACAAGCGGCTGTCTACTGGGATCCACTCTAAGAGAGCTAGTTCTGCTCTGGGACTCAATGCTATACCTACGCCGACGAGGCCACGGGAAGCAGAATCAGGGCTTCCAGATACACGAAACGTAAATCGAGTCGGTTCTTTATTTTGGCATGGTGAGGTCAAATGAATGACGCTACTTGGATCTTGTATGCGCGTTTCGGAGACGCAGCACACATCGATGGCGCGATTCCAAAGTCCTAGCTAAGGAAGCCTGCTGTCCTATTTGGCACAGTGTTCGGACATTAAAAGCTCCTACGTGTAGTTTAGAGCGTGGTTTCAGGAGACCAGGAATAGCGTTCCACCTACTCGAATCGTTTGCCCTAGCGGTGCGAGGTGATAAAGAGACGTGAGGAGGGTTAGTTATGGAGATAAGAGAGGTATTAGGAGGTGTAGGAAGGATTTGAATGTGACCAACTTGGTCTCGTGTGCTGTTACGGGTATGAGGGCTGATGTCACTTCCCGGCTGCCCACACCGTGGAAGGGTATTTCTTGAGGAACCTGAAAAGGAAATTGGATTAGTGTTGGTCTTGACGACCTGGGAGCGTGACCACAGAGCCCAAGGGACAACTGCTTGAGGCCGGTCGCGCACGGCCTTTTTGTGGAAGGTTTTTGACGTGTTAGCTCCGTTCTTCAAAGGGCCTTACCGCCGGAGACGGAAATCCGTGAGGTAAGGTGAGGCGTGACATTTTTAGGGTCGACCTTTTCTAACCCCACCCCTCCTTGTGGGAAGGCAGCATCGCTGTCATGCTGGTTGTCCAAGGGAAACACCTTACTGCTGTCACACCTCTCTACAGTCAGCAGTACGACTTCGCCCTCAGACCTTGAGTTGCTGCTTTTAGTCTTACCGTTCACCAATCGACCTCCCTGGCATGGTAGAACCTACAGGAACATATGTTCCAGCCAATATAGCTCGGTTGGGTCATCACGATAGGCAAGCCCGACCACCGCGTCAAGGTAGCAGCTTCGGTCGGGAACAAACCCAGACTCCAAACAGTTATTAGCCTTACTGGGCACAAAATAATTGCTTGCGAAAAACCCAGAGAGGACTAACTAGACATTAAAGGGAGCATGAAGCCCGTGACCAAACAACATACGAGGATTGTCTAGTTTGTGAAGTAGCAAAGGATAAGACTATCACATAAAATTTACAACGCCATTCTATCGGTTTGGAACCGTAGGTATGTTCCAGCAACAAAATATATGTACAGAGCAAACAATAAACCAGGATTAATCTCATTACAAAGAAATTTTGGACAGAATTTCTGAAACTACCAAAACTTGTCGTCATATGACTACTTACTTTTGAACAATTGTCATCTATATCACTGAGTAAAAGTTCAGTCGATTGTGTTATTTGCGTGGTCATTGGTTGATGGACATAACGTCACACTGTTCATATTAGGTGGCCATTCAGTCACTTAAAATCCAATACTCATTGATTTAATCCAGAAATATGTTCACCTGATTATCTACAGACGCCTGTTGGAAAAAATTCCATTTAGACTGACTATATGTCTGTTCAAACTGGGTCATATGTGAAACCCTTGTAATTCTTAACAAGTATCACATACTGACTTGCCTACAGCAAAACCTCATTCGCCGCGTCGTTTTACATGACCCAGTCAACATTGTGTGGTAACGCGGATGATGGCCGGTAACGGGGTTAAAATGTATTCATACTTCTGGTTCGTGCAAATCTTGAGAATAAAGTTTTATCTTACAACATATGTTCTAATTCAGTCAGTCAGTCAGCTACAACGTAGGATCAGGCACATTTATGCATCGGTCCAAGTTGCCATACCTCATTAACACAAGATGAACACCGGGTTCATAAAAGTAGTTAATTTAATAGTGGTAATATATAAAAGAAAGATTGCAATCAGGATATAGTACAGGAAGAAAGAATTAGTTCGTAGAAAGAAAGATGTAAAGCAATTTTAATCTCATAGTTTAAGGGAAGACAGAGTGCGTATACACCGATGCCATTGTGATGGATTCTGAGCCATGTCACCAAGAGTCTCTAATCATTGGTTACGACAGTCACGCGGACCCCAACTAAGTAGTCTGCATCTCCCAACATGGATCAGACTAGAAGTTAGTTTGTTTTGGCCACCCCTAACTTTCTTCCAACCATCTCCAACACCGGTTAGTATTGCACGTTGGACCGACGCCATGTTCTAATTATATATAATGGCCTTTTACAAGGGGTTAGACAATGTTGACCTTTGCAAAAATGCCGCGTGATCAGCACCAAGTATTTCGGAGGCCCTGTGGCTATGCTTAGATGACGAAAACTATACAATCTGTTTTCCTTTCCAGGCACCTTCGGAAATATTTCATGCCATGGGTAACCGGTAAGTAATATCGACATCCTTAAAAGGACTGTATGAACTGAAATTGTCACAGTGTAGATGCTGCGCTGCAGCTTGAAATTTCGGTTCTATTCTATTTAGCTATTTCTAGCTGAAAAATGTCACGAGACCTTTTGTGAAATGGCTTTGAAGACTAGTTGCTGTGTAAAACTCTGAGTAATGTTGGGCCATTCTGCCTTGAATACAGTCAACGAAAGGAACAAGAAGTTGAAACTATCCGCTTGTGGATAATTTCATCTGGTACACCACACTATCACGATGCTGTCGATGTTTGAAAAATAGCAGCTAAACAACAGGTCTACAGGTAATCACATAGAAACAAGAGCCTAATAGTTTATTAGAGGATATAATACTGAGGGATTGATAAATAGATTTGTACTGACAGTGGCAGGTGGAAAAAAACCAAATTAACTCAGCTTGACGGATTACAACTACATTTCAAATAATTACACAAAGTATTTCATCATAGCCAATCTTGTCATAAGATCTGTAACAAAGACCCTTATTTTCTCCCTGGAAGGTAGAAATGATAAACTTTTATTTTGTACCGCAAACGACTGTAATCGCCTCCAGCAACACCATTGCGATAATGACTAGAACAAGATATGTCGAGAACAACAGGCTATTGATTTTACGCTTGCTAATGTAATTGGGAACTATAATTCATAACCAAACAGTTTGGTTTTAGAGGGATATAGTGACTTACCGATACGTTGTTAGAACCTTACCTAGACACTTGCCATTGTAAAAACATAAAAACATGTCAGCTAGTGTCAACTTATTATATGACGCATGTAGCTACAAAGTCAATATGTTTGCATGGTTAGCAATAAAAACAGAAGGGATACTACTTTAAATAGCTTGGAAGAAAGATTAACTGAATAACCACACAAACTTGACTGTAACACCGATCCCGCTTCCCAATGGCTTCCACTACTCGACACGAAGTAGCAGAACACAACATGGAACACTATCATATTATAATGCTCGACTAAGTCAAGCGTCCAAACTGGAATAGACAAATAAGGACTTCACTGGCATAATTAGACAGACTTTAGCACAACTTTACCCCGTATGAATTTATGATTTTTGGTCCAAGTTGACAGTGATGACTATAAACGAAAATAAAAGCTGTGAAACCCTACTGACTTAAATAAACCAACGACAATATTCGGAAAATATGATAAACTCATTAATTCCTTTGCATTCTCTTTAGCTGCAAACAAGTTAATATGAGTGAGTTGACCTCAAATCCAATTTCTCACTTAACTTCCGAAAGTATGGTCAGAGCAATACAATCGCCCAAACATTCTAGGTTCACTACACTAAGCAGTTAAAATGACCCCACCTCTAGAATGTTAGCTTCTTCAACACTACACATAACTTGAGCGCAATGGGTTAAATTTGAGGTTGTTTTTAGTTGAAATAACTAGACACAGCTTGTGTGTAGATGAGAAAGTGATGAGATACAACGAACTCATTATGTTCTGGAGGCTTATTTTGTTTTAATGGTGACAATTATGAACTGGTCAGATTACAGATCTCAGATTTTGACGAGGGACTCATTTATTTACTTTGCTAAATACCATTTTAGTATTACAGGTGATGTCACTTCGTGATGGAAATATAAAATCGAATTCCTAACCCTAATGTCTAACTTCAAATCCCAGTCCTAATCCCTCACACTAGTATAAGTCCCATACTTAACCGTAGCAAAGTGGATATCTTAAGGTCATTCTAGCATTACCCAAAGACTGTCTATAAACTGCAGTCTCACCTAGGAACCCATAATTGACAAATCAGTACCATGAAGAGCATGCTTAGTATACGGAAGCTTATATAACGGTTGTTCTGTGCTAGACAATCAAGAATTTTCAAGGAGGTAGGACAGATTAAAACGAGTTTAATTTAGCAGTGTACAAGGATATCAGGAAAATGTAGATTTTTTTGTCTAACGAAATTCGTCTTTAGATTTTCATATTTTAAAAAATACCATGTTCCCACTAATGAAGTTTTAAGAGTTGCAAACTAACCGGAGTTCAGCAGCAGATATGAATCCATTTCCATCTTTGTCAAAAACGCGGAATGCCTCTCGAATCTCTTCTTCACTGTCTGTATCCTTCATCTTTCTGGCCATCATTGTTAAGAACTCAGGGAAGTCAATTGTACCATTACCTTAATTTGCTTGTGACTCAACTAATGTGGCCTTACCATCAGCATCTACTTCATTGATCATATCTTGCAGTTCAGCTTCTGTAGGGTTCTGCCCCAAAGAGCGCATGACTGTACCTAATTCTTTAGTGGTGATTGTACCATCACCATCTTTATCAAACAAGGAAAATGCTTCTTTAAACTCAGCAATCTGTTCCTCTGTTAACTGGTCGGCCTGGTGTAGACGTTATGCAAAGGAAACATAGGAACCTACCATTCTCCAGGATATGAGTTCACAACCTTGAACCAAAAAAGCACGATAACCTGTAACAAGACCGTCTGCGATTGATTAATAATTTAAACACAAGGCAAGACTCAAAGGCTATTGAAATCAAAGAAGTCTATAGTATATCGGTAAACCAACATCTATTTTTTAGAAGGAAAAAGTTAATGTTTATTATTCAGTCTTACTGTGCCGCGCAATATGAAATATGGAGTCATCTATCGTTTATGTGATTTTCGAACTCGTTTATGAATTATTTTTGTGTTTGAACGCGAAAGTTAATGAATTAGTTTGTTTTGATTCTGATCACGCTAGATTTATTCTGGCTGCGGCTTCAATGTTTGTTCACCACTGTTCATAAAGGTTGGCTGGCCATTGTTTCTTTCCTTAATTTCAAATCAATATGTTTCTTGATTCTTTTATTCTTTACTACTAAAAACTTTTTATAACTAGGTTCAGTATCATCTACGAATTACGTCGGCTATTTCACTGTTTCAGAGACTATATCATGTCTGTGAGAGCTATGTTGACAAGTAAATTCAATAATTTTCATAAACATAAATGAAAGACAATATCTTTTTCCCCCTCTAAACCTAATATGTGCAATCAAGTTCATATTAAATAACACGGAGCTGCTTGAGAAGTTAAGCTTATTTCCTCTTTCCTACCTCAAGACAAGCAGTGGTCGGTTTTTTATGTGTATCAGTAAATAAATCCCCAAAAATTAAGTTCTGTATATCTTCGACATCGATGCTGACCACATTAGCTTCAGTGGAAACATCTAGCTGAAGGCGCTATGTCACGCATCTGCATCAGATCACGAGTGGGTGTGTCGTGATACTCATATCTTGAACTGCTAGCCAGCTTAGATCGAAGGCTTCTCGACATATCCATAGCTTTCCAAATATAACATCGAACTCCTTCATTTCTAACTTTTAATTTGACTGGGTTGGTTTACTTTGATTATATAGGTGTTATGGGTAAAGATGTTGTCTAACTCCAAATACCTGTGTCATCTTTATATGTTTAGGATATTAAGAAATGATATTGAAACTGTAATATCCTCATTTTCTTTTCTTACCAGATCACACGATATATGAGTATATGAGGCGAGTGCGAAATCCACTGAGAAATAAGATCCTCAAGGCATATCAGTTTACACACCGAGTCGTCAACTCACGGGACCTGTTACTCAATATTGTGGTCTCCACACCTCTAAATGACATATTCTAGAAAAGACTAGACACTCTTAAAAGCTTACTAACGTAATGAACATGAACACAAGAGGGACAATTGAGTGTATTTGAACACAAAATTACAGAACATTTTATTAAAATCTGAGAACCATACAGTAAATTCTTCATTTGCAAAATATCAGTCAATTGTCTCAATCGTCATTGTTCTTTCGTTTTTACACCAAACATTCTCTGTTCTCGTTCTCTTCCCTTCGATCTTCTTAACCTTATGCCGCCACACATTTTACTTCTGTTTGACGTTGCATACTACTTATATCTGTCAATATTAGTAGCACAAACCACACAAAGAAGGGACAAAACCAGGTTGTGGGGATCTGAGCCCATCGTTAATTGATATCAACTGTGAATAGAAAATATTAATTGGTTGATTGAGTCACGTTGCAGCCGGATGTTTAAGTAAATACTGCCTACGTCATCCCTGTTTCCGCCTTAATGACATCGGTCTGTTGTTCCATATTACAATGATGTTGTATTACCTTTTAAGACCACTCTATACTATGTGACAGTACTAGTCTGGATTATTTTCCGACGATTCTATTAGTTTTATATTTCATTTCACGTTGTCTCTATTAACTGTACGGAACACATATTTTCCAGTCGAGTGTTCTCTATTTATGTTGGTAACTCCAGAATGAACTTCCAGGCGCCATTTGTTACATAAGTGTTATTACTGTTTTCTATTCAATGCTCAACTTTGTTTTGGATGTTGACATTTTTTACCGTCTTCTCACTCGTTTATAGTCACTTCCGTTGATAGTATATATAGTCATCCTGGTATTTTATCTGCCTCGCGTACTGTTATATTTTGACCACGTTTCTTCATAGATCAGAATCAATCTACGGCACATGAAGTCCATTCATCACTGGTTATAGGAAACAGGAAATATGATATATAGGTTATATACTGAATTGATTTCATCCTCTCAGTTGTAGACTCCGCTAGCTCATTCTTGTGAGTTTACGATCTGCTGGTGGCTGCTTGTATCTTAGAAAAAAATGTATTAACGAGAAGTCAGTGAATTTCGTTTGAAAATTTTTAGAATGCTTTAAACGTTCATTCGACTTAGTACATTCTTACAATGCTAGATGATTGAGAATAACGCTGGTTAGTTGCAGCGTTGCCGTGTTGAAAGCATTGCTTCAATGTTTAATTTGTAGACACGAATCCAGACTACAAAGTCCATATACTTTGCATGGTAATGACATCGGAAGTCTCCAGCCAGCTGGTATAGATAGCAGGTTAAGCGAATCGTATTAGTCCTCTCACTTAATAATGCTGAGAAGTTCGGATAATCCTTTGAATGTAGAAACAGACAGTGCTGATATTACATGTTTAAGTAGAAAGTTCCGATAAGTCACTACTCTGTACAACAAATGAAACTCCAGACGTAAACGGCTTGATCTTGGTTTTCTTAATTTCCTAAAATACCTCGTTGATTATCAGTCCTAAATGGGAGGGAAAGCTAAAAGATACTATTGGCAAAATCATCATTCCGTATACTATGGGCTAGTACTAAATCATCTACCAATGTGGGGTATGATGACGGACATAGGCCGATGCGTCTCAGTCTTTCTTCGTATAGTAGGTCTGTAAGATTGCATATTTCAAATGCTGCCTTACAGACGTCGACATAATACCCTAGAGGTTTTTTCATCTGAATGACAAAGTGACTTACGAATAGTACAAAGAGCTTTAAAATCTTAGGAAGCGGCCGACTTACAGTTAACTGTAGCTCTGTATCTACACTCAAAACTCCAGCACATTGACTGCTGTACGTACTTGAGTAACCAGTGTGGCTAACATCAACTTTCTTACTAGATCATAAATGTTCAAGACTTTAAAGATTTCATACATGCACTAGGTCTCTAACAAACTCATATCGTTCAGAAGTGTTTGTTATATATGTCATACCGCATTCCTTCCCTTACAGGTAAAGCATAGTCAGCTTATTCAAATTTATGGGTACAGACGGCCGCTGTAAAAATGTTTACAAAAAACCATGAGCGGCACAATTAAGTCAGGTGAAAATTATCGAGGGAATTTCGTGCTACATTATAGACATTTTATTGTAAATAACCAGTGAAGGGGATCTGGCAGCCTGCTTGAATATCCAAGCTACCTGTTCGTGCCATCTAGATAATTCAATAAGTAATCTGTTTCCTTTTTTATTTTGACACATCATTATATAAATTAAATACATAGCCTATTCAGGTGCGTTTATAAAAAGTGTAAAACGTTTCGTTGTACAAGTTACAAAAGGATATTAAAGATTCTTATTGTGAAAATTAGAACAACACATGTAAGCGAACAATTGTTTTCAATTAGATCATCATCAGGCTTTACTTTAATATACAAGAGTATTTATACGAGAATGTTAAACCGATCAAGCCAATTTAGGTCGATAATCACAATGAAACAGAATATGTCGCCGCCCATAATAGGTAGAAGTACAATTTGGTAGTAGGAAGACAGGTGTTTCATCTTTGTTTAACCTACAATTGTCTTTTTGCAGTTGCCATATTGGACTAATATAGCTATAGATGGTAATCGGTGATTAACTGTACATTTTCTGACTTTCTTTTACAGTTTTTGTTTTACCGCCGCTTGCCCACCTTTGGAGCAAAGTGATTTTACCTTTCACCATTTTTAGATACAATATTATCTCTCAATTGACAGAACCATTTCTTACACTGTGACAACAGGATTTTTATTAGATGTTTGTATCCTCTAGAAAAATATTTTTCAGGTGTTTTCAGCTTGGTAGTTGGGTCTTGTTTGGTATTACCATTACCTTAATGGTAGACCTAATCTCAAAATTATAGGGTTGTCATGATATGACTACCCATTCTATAAGATCTTACGTGGAAGTCACAGCATTCTCTACACTCGCTCGTCGTATCATGACGATCAGTGATATGACGTCCAGTATTTCTGAAGAACTCAGTTGACTAGGAAAGAGAGCGATGTGTTTGATGCAATGAGCAAGAAGTTATAGTGACTGCGCCTGCATGACCTAGCCTTGCCAGTCCCTTTCTTTCCTTCAGGATTGACCATTGTTAACTTACTCTTTGTGTTACATGCTGAGTGTAAATCTCAGTACTTATAACCTCAGCCCCGAAGATAGTGTGGTTAAGACCTAAACACCGGTAAAAGCTAACGGGACAGACAAACCAGAATTTCCTGGATTTTGAATTTTACATCAGGAAAACAAAAATTGCTTGTTTGTATAACAAGCAACCATTTAATTTGCTCTCATAACCAGTTAATTAAATGATCCATATTTATACTAGAACAAGCATACACCATTTACAGGTAAATGCATGATGAATTATCGGATAAAACTCGCACTAGTTCCTGATGTCGCAGCGAAATGTGTTGGAGCCACCAGATAAAAGAATACAGTAATGAAGAACAATGAGTTGTGTTATTTGACAAGGTAGGGTATATTTAAATAATGGAAGGCAAGTCGAATTAAGATTGAAGAAAGCTGTTTATTGGGAGAGAAAATGCATCAAATGAGAGTAGTGTTCAGGAACAATAACAACTATATCATTTATAATCTGTTTTCTGTAACTCTCTTTTTTATCTGATGTCAGTCACTAGGTCATAATGTAGAAGTCTGAGCTTGCGTGCTATAGGTCATTTTGTAGAATAAAGAACTCGACATAAACTTGGAAACATGGGCCGGAATAGCGAATTTAGTACAACTTGAGCATCATAGATATACTTTCGCGTCC